GAGCGGAAGCCGGAAACCGTTCGGAGAAATAAAGATCGGCACTATTTCTCCGAACGTTCGGAGAAATAGTCACTTCGTTTATAAAATCCATCAATAAACAAAAAAGTTAAGGATTTTTTAATCAATTAATTTCTGGTACACTTTTATATAATGAAAAAACCCCAAAATATGGGACGTTCTTTGGTGAGTTTTGAGACAATATTCGTCATAACTCGCTCATTTCTTGGAATATGTAAATGAAACTTGGCAGTCTAGTACATTTTTTTATGCAGAATTTAGTCATGCAGTCAGACTTTTAATATCTGTCATACTTTTTGAGTTGTAAGGACATTAACAGGTAAAAAAGTGGCGTTCTTTACAGATTTACAAAGATTATCAGTCATATGTTCTCCCAAAGTCATGATATTTGAATGAAACTTGGCAACATAAAAGGTTCTTCCTTGCCAAGCAATATTCTGTATCAATTTGTCACAAAAATGTAAGTAGAGAGCTACTAATAAATCCAGTTTTGTACTAGTAAAAGCATGCATACTTTGTTATAGAAAATAAGATCGTCTCTGTGTATATCCATTGTTGGACAGTGTCCTATTGTGTGGTAGATTAAGATGCGTTCAGATAATATAGTTTACAAGTTATGGGAATATTTCGCATGTGTAGGCTACAACTCATACAATAAATGTAACATATTTACACCCCCTCCCCCTTCTCTCTCTCTCTCACGCGCGCGCACTCACGCACGCACGCGTGAACGATAACAATGTATAAACGGGACTATCTTCCCAGACTGGACTAAATAAGTACCATACTCTTTTAACAATCTTAATGCCTCACTTTTCCCAAACAGAGCACACAGGACGAGTCCAAGTGTGTGCTTTCCCAAGAGGGGGGAATAGGCTTTCATAACGCAAACACAATGCCATACCACTTCTCAATATGTTTGCTTTTCTGTTTCTATTCTTCTGTCATGCAATCAAGCAAATAAAAATGACTACATCTATTATATTGTGACTAAAATGCAACAAAAACGCAAGTTATCAAGGTAGCAATGACAATGAAAAATTAAATTTTCATCCAAATTGCTTTAAAATGGACTTAAATGAAAATAGAGTAAATTCTAAGAACTATGGTTTTAAAAAATTAAAAATCCATTGATAAATAAAAAAGTTATTGGGATTTTTGTTTGCAAAATGTTGGAGGACCTTCATATAGGAAAAAATCGCCAAAATGTGGGACATGTTTTGATGTATTTTGAGGAAAAACTGTTCATAAGTCAGTAATGAATTGGAGCATATGAATGAAACTTGGCATCTCCATGTGATTTTTAGTGCCGAATCTAGTTCTGCTATCACTTTTTCGATGTCTTCATTACTTTGGATCTTAAAGACTGATATTTGCGTGAAATTTGTTGAATTGCGTGACATCGTTTTTACCGCGACGCGATCACCCCTTCTAAAACTCAGTAAAGCGCTATCGGGAAAACCCGCGATGTAGTCATCGGTGACCCATTTGGTTATAGGCAGCCAATCACATGCCGCCTAGCGATCACGCGCCTCTTGTGTGCCGGCACCTCACGTTTGGAATGCGCTATCAAGTTTCTAGATCTAGGGTTTTATCAATGGATGGGTGGTAATTTTAAGTTGGTACGGAAAATCTACTAAACGCAGAGATCTGAAATTTTACAGCAATAAAGAAGACATGTGGGGCGCTTGTGTGGTCGGCGATCAACCCGCAGCTCCGCTTAGTTTTCGAACCGCAGAGGAAATTCGCACAAACACGGCAATATCTCCGGTTCTAGTAATCGTTCGGGATTGTACGCTGGCATGTCGTTAGTTTAACCTTTCCTCTGGTTGGTTGCCGAGTTTCATTGATTTTCGTCCAGGAGTTTTCCCGTAACTAAACTTAGAAGAGAGTCACTTCTGATTCCGAGCGGCCCAAAAAATACCCCTCGCGCGGAGGCCAATTTCCAGCACAAGGCGCAGCGGGCGATTGGCATTGCTAATCAAGGCCCCCGTTTAGTTTTCAAGTATCCTTCCCCCCCTTTCCATTTCACATAAGCGGGGCCTCGTTTGTAGCGCCCGAGGCGACCGATGGCTGATGACGTCACTCAGTGGAAATTTCCACGCCGCCGGCCGTTCACCCAGCACGCGCAAATGGCAATGTCGCTTTTTAGTTACTCCCACATTTTTAAAGATTACGCCAAAACCGCTAAACACAGAAGCATGAAATTTTAAGGGAATAAAGAAAAATGGTGTACAATGTATCAGTCAGTTTGACAAATCACAGCTCCGAAAAACCTTCAAAGCGCACCACATCAACCACTTTCGCAAACGTTTTCG